CTCAATCAAGTTAGAGTAGCGCAAGTCTTCCATTTCCTTGACTCTTAGTCAGCCCGAGTCCGAACCACACCGGCCAATAGGCCTCACACGTGATTGGTGGGAGCTCAAGTTAGAGTAGCGCAAGTCTTCCATTTCCTTGACTCTTAGTCAGCCCGAGTCCGAACCACACCGGCCAATAGGCCTCACTCACACGTGATTGGTTGAAACACAGAGTGGTGAAATCCAACCGCCAGGAACGCGAGCATTGATTAGTCAATCACGTGGTACCAACACCCAGTCGAACTTCAGAGTCCAAGTGGCACGAACTGCCAACGAAGATAACTAGATTTCCACAGTGCTACAGCTGTATACACTTTAAACATGGCACACAATTTCTGACTTCTTTTGGGCGGTAATGCAATTCAGGCATTGGTAAAGATGAAGATAAAAAACTTACCGGGTTCTAGAATTAGTGATTCTTCTGAGGCAAATTGCGATGCTTCTGTTTTGAGTCTACAAAAAAGAACGAAGCGAAATGACCCACGGCAAAAAAGGCAAGAAATCATTCATAAATTCTGATTAACCTTCCACTTTCAATGGTTGCACACCAGAATTATCTCGAGGATAATACTGGTGCTACATCCTAAATCATAGTTTGGTTATCACTGGTTTGATTTCCGAAATTGCATACCGGTAAAGCTGTTTGGGGTCCTATGAATCTGGCACTGCTGGAAATGATGCACCTAGATAGACGTTAAACTGGATTTAGGTCGTTTAGGCCCAGATACCGAACTATTACGATAAGTCTCACAAGCTACTCAGGCGCAACGGTTGGATGTTCGAACGACTCGGCTTACTCCGCTGTTTGACCAATCAAATGGGAGGTGTACATCGGACGGGGATTTAAGCACAAAGGATATTGCTGAGATCCACTTGAGTTTCAAGCAAAACAGCATATTCCTTTCACTTGGTGTGAAATAAGATTGATGGAATCAGCGAACATACACTCATTTGCAAACTAATTAGGTTTTTCGAGAGACTCACCTGGAACCCAGCTGAATCTCTCGTTTGTGATGTTCTCAGGCAACTGAATGTGCTGCACCAGGCCGTCTCATGTTTCGGTCGCTACGATATTCGAGATATCGCCTGAGAACATCACAAACGGGAGATTCAGCTGGGTTCCAGGTGAGTCCCTCGAAAAAAACTAAATTAGTTTGCAAATGAGTGTATATTGGCTGATTCCGTGCAATTTGGTTTCAAGTGGAACATAAGGTTGACGGAAACCCGGGGACTGTGCTTACCTGATGATCCCCAAGAAGGGCGAAACCGGTCGTGGGCTGTCGACGGATTTTCAGCAACCTTGTGAGTAGTACAGTACAAAGACCCTGAACTGTTTCCGTCAGCTGAGTTGGAAACTTTTTGACAATTTAGTCTCTAAGACTCCACCTCGATGCCACTGTTTCACAGACGCACAGTATCCACGGCAAAGTCTCACTGGGTCCGTTCTATCTTCCCCTGTTTTACTATCCGCAAATAATCATCCAGTCGACTCAGATTACATTCATGGATTTGCAGACGAGGCCGTTCCTCACAAAGGCACACCTTACAACCAATGCCACACTGCCTCATCTCATTTTAGTTGCAGACTAGCACCAGATTATACAGCGATCCTGGTACCATTTACAATACGGGGTGGGGGCGAGATGGCTCAGTGGTCGGAGCACGAATTTACTGCCCGGAAGGTCCGTGGTTCGAATCCAGCCTCTGCCTCTCGACTTCCGCCGTCTAGGCTTGGGCAACCTGGCAGTATCCCAGACCTCGTGCTTCTTTTGGGTGGCATGGCAGCTAATCACGCTCTATATTCGTCGTGTCATCCCCCATCCACTGATCTTGGGTCCGTTCTGCCGTCTTCGGTACAGATGATCTTTATCCTCTGTCCCGCTGTTGAGGTGCAGCCTCTTTGTTTAGTCTGTCGATACTACCATAAGCAGGTATGCACGTCATCTTCCTACTTCCAGACACATCACCAGATGAAAGTGTCCCATAGAACTACTATCCTTTTGATTTTCTCCAAAACTGCATAACCCCTTCTCTCTGTTTTCTTTCAGATCTTTGTCATAGTCAATTACTCAACATTAGCACTCAACAGAACAGTCGCCTGGTTGTTAGTTTTCCACATCTTTTGAATATTTTAAATGTATTCCTGTGTGCTTTCTCCGCAGGCTTATTATTCTTGACGAAAATCTTAGACTAGGGGTTTCCGCTACTCTGTGGTCTACTACGTGAGTAAGAAAAATATTCCGGAAATAAGAACCTGATGGCCAAATCTACCTTGCACAAAGTGCTACGGTGATAGATAGCGCACCTTTTATCGGACCGATTGCCAGACGGCCGGCTGGTTATTGTGTTGTTGCTAGTACCACTGTTCAAGCTGTCACAAAGAGTCTTGAGAGATCGGACAGTTTTCACCAAGCTATCTGGAACATTGTCCACACAACTAGTTGACTGACTCGTAGCGATGAGCCGAGCGACTGAGATCATTTCATGGAGTTCAAGTGCAGAAAAGCTCTCAGCTCCTGTCAAAGCGAGCGACGATTCTTTCGAGTCTGAGGAAGTCTTTGACGATCCGATTGCGTCTTTCCAATAACGCTGAATTTCTTTGTGATCACATGAGATATTTGAATGCACATTCAACAAGTGGTCAACTTCCAGGGCCAGTGCGATTGCTTCAGCCTGGACGGACGGAGCTACAGGTAAAGGTGCTGCAGAGCTAGAAGTAGCCACAACAAGAAAAGAAACTGGAAGGTAAGCGCAGAAACAAGAAGCATCCAAACAACCACACCAGAACCGAGGATGCGAAGAGCAGCTCAGGTGCGAAAAAACATGGTAAGAATCTCAACCCGTCGAAAAATGAAACACGTGACAGTAATCTGGGTGTTATAAGTTCAAACTTTGAGAAACATGGAAAGTACTAGGAGTCGTGTTTTGGAGCATCGAGTGACTCAGTCTATCCGCACCCTGAGAGGGTCTCATCACAAGGGAAGCACTGTTTGAACTATTCCAAAATACAAGACAAACCGGTGGGTAGCGGATTTTTTGTCCCCTATTGGTAGTTAATTACACCGAAGAGTTTAATGCCTCAACACCACAGAAAAAATATACCGATACGGGATGATTTCCGACTACGATAACGTGCAAAGCTTGATCGATGACACTTTTTGGTCACGAGCGTCCGGTTAGAGAAAAACCAGTCCTCGAGATCGAAAGGACAAACAAGGTGATTCGAATGAGTTCTAACTCGAATGTATTACTCAAGAGATGGAGAGGCACAAGTGGTCATTAGATAGGCAATAATCTTAGAGTTGAGGTGATACAGAAGTTGATCCGCACGTCTTTGGTTGGATAACCACATCGTTCAAATCCGTCTCTGATTTCTACAATAAATTTTTATAGGCTTGAATCACCTGTTTAACTAGAACTGCTGAGCTGCGTAAGAGCAAGCCATGATGTGCGATGAAGTGAGACGCTCACGAGTCAAGTAAGCAACCTACCGTTTTAGAGCACCTTTTCGGGTATCCGTGAGGGAAACGTTATCTTTGATCGCGTTTACCAATTTGTCTATAGCTCGGATACAAGCAGCAGATTCGCTCGGTTCCAAGTACTCCTTCGAAAGATGCTCGTACAGAGGCAATGATAGCTTTGAAAAGGAGATAGAAAAAAGGATGAAATCACTACAACCAATGTGGATGAGTTTTGCAAGGGGAAATTTCGACTTATGTGTTGATAAAAACACACAGAAGCGTTCTTATGACACTGCATGCACCAAAACTGCCGTTCGTTTGTAGCCTTGCCTGGTACAAGCAAGGAGTATCACAAGCTGCAGCATGTGAACATGATGGGAGTGTAAGAATGGCAGCCCAAACTTGACATCATTAGTATCCTTCAGATTTCCCAGTTGTCTTGCGTAGCCTCTGATACTTTCTGATCGAAACGAATTCGTTTATCTGCTCTTGACACAGGCCACAAGATTCTCTCGCGATTCAAATCGTTCACTTCTGGAATTCCACTGCGTGTCAGCATAGGAAACTTTGATGAGTATCAATTGTACTATGAAGTGTTTCACAGATGGGAAAAGAATATACAGGGCTGAGAAACTGCTCAATAACTGGAAATGGCGGAAGCGTACTAAGCTGTCACTGGGCAGGCATGCAAGTAATATTATGGCCTCCTCTTTACTTCCGTTCCGAACGTAAAATGTGCTTATGGAGAAGTTTCTATTGAAGATGCGACTTTATTTATCGTTCGATTAATTAATTAGGTAGTTCGCTCATTTATTCATTAATGAACACGGCGAGAGGCTCTCCTTTCTGTGGATTCCATAATTTTCGTTCAAAGTTCAGAGTACTTGGGAAAGGCATACAGCGATCCCTTGCGAACGTGTTTACCTACTGTACATCATATTGCAATGACGTATTGGTAAACATGGTTTCGATGAGTCTCATCAAACCAGTACAGAGAGACCATAAAACCATTGGTCAGATATGCCTGTAAATGTGTAGTGTACCTGCCTAAAATGACGGTTGCCCACTACACGGTAATTCTTTCATTTAGCTGTGGTTGTCAGGGGAGGCAAAATTGGATAGCTAATGCAAGGTCGGGACCATTATGCGTCTCCTCCGGAGAAAGACTAGGTTTGATATCGTCTAAGTGATATCAAGTGCGGTGTATTAGAACGACTGGCTAACACAGGATAGGGCAGAATGAACGCCGGATACATCCAAGTGTATCAATAAGATGTATGGAATCACGTGTTCAAACTATTTGATTCCAGCCCAGGATAGTGAGTTCACAGATACCCTATAGGACAAGCATCCAACCGTGTGGCGTGGTTTGTGGAACATCCGAAAGAAAAATGAGTGAATCAACAACGATGAGTCAATGACTCGACCTTTCGTAGCTCTGTTGAGCAGACGAGCACTGCTCAGTGGAATTCTCAAATGCGCAAACACACTAAACTATGCTGAATTTTCGTGAACCCGAGTCCGTATAATTTCATATTTGGTCCATCCTCGAGGGACAGTGGACCTCGACCCATGTAGTGTATGGAAAGACAGATGTCTGCGTAAACCCATCACGATGGGTCCAGGCGTTTTTCATCTGATTTAAACACTCAGACAATAATCCACGGTCTTGAATCAATAACCAGATACTGGTGACGTAGGCTATGCGTACCGCTGCATTATCAGGCTGATGGATTTGGATACCAGCCAGTTTGTTGGAAACGAAGTTAGCAGGTCACTCAATTTGTCGACCGATGTATCAACTGTCTGTTTCCCTGTCATAGAACAATGTGTCCCCATCCACAAAAATCCCGACTTAAAGCACTATCACCATAAGGGCCTCGGGTATTGTTTTAATTTTCGTAACTCGGGTCAGTAGTACATCAGTTCACCAGAGTGGTTTAAGTTCTTCATCACTGAAGACCATACCGTTCCGGGCGATGTGATTGGTGACCTAAAAGGTTCCCTTTGAACATGAACACAATTAATCCAGGAACCTTTCGTAATTGTTGTCACATACGGTGGTAGTTGCTATACACACATACAGTTCCTGTAGCTTTGGCATACCATCAGCTGATTTGAAACAGCGCACAGAAATGCCTTTCTGCTTTGCAAGAAGTCATGCTTCCAATTGCAAACCTTTTTCCTCGACACATGCACATGTCTGGTTGAATCGGTGAGAAAAATGAGGACTGCCATAATTTCTCAGCAGGCTTGAGGCTACTCAGTTCTTCGCAGTTGACCTTGATAAGACTGGCAGGTTTTGTACATAACTGTCAGGGCGCGCCCAGACAGAAGAAAAAGCACATGTGCAGAGTGACGCATCCCCAAGGTCACCATCGGTTCGACACGTCCGGAAAGTAGGTGAGTTGGCGGCTCTCACCAAACGGCTTAGCAACACACGACCAGCGTAGTGGGCCTGAGAATGTTCACGACCAGAGCACCACCATTGGCTGTACGGAGCGAACAAGTGAACGACCATATTTGGCCAAGTAGTCATCCTATATATTTACGCAGACGCTCTGTACGTTTTGTCCTGGCAATACAGCCTTGTCCGCAGTTCTCTGTCTTCTTCCTATCGCGTAGTCTGGCAGGCGCAGTGCAGGCGTAACCAATAGCTCGGCCATCGCACGATACAACAATAACCATACCTCTGACATAAGGACCAGCTAACTCGAAGCTGGTTGACGGTGTGCAAGGGAGTAATACTCAGTACATGGGTCATAACACTTCAGAGATGATCTTCAGTTATCAACCCTAAACATCGTTGCATTTGTTCACCAAACGACAGTCTTGAACATCTGAAGAGAGCAGCATTTCGCACCTCTTGCTCACATTATTTGCCGTAAGTGTTCCATACAATGATAGGATCAGGTATCAATATATATTTTAGTGCTGTTGTAACGGGTTAACAGAAAATCTGAGGCGTGTTTCGGGTTTGCAAAACCGGAGTTTCTTCTCTAGTTGGAATACGAGAATTCAGCAAAATCGGTAAGAGAAGTGTTTAGAGCAGAACAAGGGCATTTACGACAGATCTTCACCAATCAATGCAGTGCCCAGTCCATTTTTACAGTAACGTACAAAATCTGCCTATTACGATTGACCGAAATCGACTCTTCATGCCAAACACAGTCATGACTGCTAGCAAACCTCCCTGTCTTTGATCGTCTGATAAAGTGCAAATCTTCCTGCACAAAACCAGGGTCTTTTTCATGCATCCAACATCCGACTTGTTGAAAAACTATCGATTTGAACTCCTCACAAATGCGCCTGACGTTTCAAAGTAAGATGTCATTGGATTACGAGGCTGTTGAGTGTTATTCGTCATGTATGCCCACTGTATTGCAACGGAGGCCTGCTTTATCGACGGCCAAAAGACCGTTAAATCAGGTCGAATGATCACGATTATTCTATACCACAAGTGATGAGGTCACAAGTCAGCAGAGACCGGGGCAACCTTCGGTATCCGACCGGAGCAAGTGTGTTCTAGTTTACGCAGCTCGGACGAAACAAACACTGAGATAAACAGCAATAAGTTCCTCAGAGATGGATTTCGTTCATTCCAGAATTCGTTATTTTGCTAGAAATGGGTTCTTATCAATAAGGTAATAAGACAGGTTATAAGGTTCCCACAAATATGACGGGTAGCCCATTCGAAGCCAGCGATTTTCAACAGCACGGATGGTATGCGCTCTTCGGGGAGGGAGCATTTGCGGAAAGTGTGAGATTTCACTCACTTGAACAGAATTTTCTAGGTAAGACTTGGAATTTATTAGGAATGTCTTTTTCAATCATAACATGCAAATTAACAATAATAACGGCTCAGTTGTGAAGCCTTTTCGGCTCATAGCTGCCACACAATTCGAAGGAAGCGTAAAGGGTGAGGTGACACCCGGTTGCCCAGGCCGGGAGCAATCAAAAGCCCAGGATTGGGTTTGAATCATGTCTTACCACTTCGCAGTTTCGTGCTTTAATTACTGAGGCCTTTCGAGCCTACCGGCGTGACAAGCAAGACACATGTGTGGAGTCAATGTACTAGCAAGATTTATACATGGATAAAACACATTACTGAAAAATAACCGCATTACGGATCCATAAAAAGGGATGTGTGCATGCATGCGAAAGAGCCCAGATGAATGAAATGCTACCGACAGATGAATGGTCTCACATACAAAGAAGTTTAAGGACACAAATTACCTCCACGAAGACTACACTTGACGTTTAGGCTACTGAAGAATATTAAACCAAACTTCGTTGTGATAATCCTGGTCAAGACCTCTCCATGGGTAGCATTCAAAAACTGATGATATTTTCGCTTCTCAAACTTCCCAATTCAAGAATAAAGCAAACGTGACGGACACAGCCGACCCAGTCAGTCACAGCTGAGTTCAAGTTCGAAAAAAGAACAGTAAGGAAAAAACATGCGTAACCCACCTTATTGCTACCAAATAGAGTTTCTGAATCGACCACTGGCCAGTACCGCGTGGACCGTTCCAAATGTTGTTGCGCTTGTTGCATTTACGAAAGAAAAAAGAGTCCGGTCACTAATCAGCGTTTGGACGGAGAAAACAAGGTAACACCCAGTACAAAAATCCTACACGAATGAATATTCATGAAATCAGTCGTAATCCACGTGCGACTTTTATGTTTTATTCAAGTTGTGTACATACTGACTCAATATGAGCTTAAATATTAAGAAACACACAGAGTTCCGTTTCTCGGAATTTGACAGTAGGACTATGATGGTCAGGAAAGCACTGGGTAATGTTAGGCTTACCTCTTTCGCGGGGAGCAACAGTGAATTTCTGATGTGCCGAAGCGGGTGCCAGACGCGATGGTCGTATGACTTGATCTGCAAAGGACTGTACACGCAGATCCGATGGGGGTGTGTGGGAGCTGACTGGTGGATTGTGAACAGGATGTGCCAGGGGACAGATAGTAGCTAGAGTGTGCAGGTACATAACGGAACCATGACAGGTCAACAAAAGTGCCTCGTTCGTTGATGGTGGAAGAGAGGTTGCATTCAAAGGAGCAGGTAAAGATGGAAAGTTAACCGGTAACCGATGGGCCAAAGCAACCGAACGACCTGAAATGGAGTAAATACGGACTGAGAAGAGTAGAACTGACAGATACAAAACACATCCGAATGAGTGCGCGCAGAAGATATCGGTAAGTGGTAATGTGTTGGGTGAGTATTAATGTGTGGTCACGAATGTGAAGGAAATGGGAGAGAAGGTAGAAAACATTCACCATTAATAGACCAGTTGAGCAAAGAGTCACTGGTAAACCAAAAACGCAAAATCACAGCCGGAAAAGTGCGTTGTAAACACCAAATTATGCAGCAATCAGCTGCGCCTGTCAACGGATCGACTTAATAGGAGAGACTCGAACAGATTGGCTTCTGACCCTCGTTCCGTTTAAGGTCGTTACAGGCAGTTGGAGTGGAAGTTGGCATATATTCTTGGTTATGAACCCTTCTGTATCACTATTGGCACCAACCACGTTAGTGAAGTGCCTCGGTCCAGAGTTCAGATTGTCAAAGCAAATTCGTATCGCTAGATTCGTTGAAGTTCTGCTTCTTGACACAGGTAACAAGTGTATCACCTTGTCCATTTTGGGGTTTCGTAGAGAGATCTCTGAAACTACCCAGGCCACCTACTATGTGCAGGCGTCCATTGGTTTGAGCACTGTTGATCGGTAAATCCGATTTGGATGACAGCCATTTATAACACAGCTTGAATGGAACACGAACGAAGTAATTAAACCAGAAGCCTACGAGAAAAGGTGCACGGACAAACACTCTAGTTACCTCCGAGAACAAATTGAGCCAGACAAGTGGATGCGCGGTTTCCAACATCGGCCAAGGTGACTCGGTGGGCACTGATGGCGTAACGAAGGAGGGCTACAAGGAGATAGAAGTCACAAAAAAGCCGGTAAAATGGCGGTAAAAAGTGGGTACAAAAGAGAATTGAATGTCCTAGTCCCGTTGGATTGGTGGATAAAATGAAAACAGTCCACCCTGGCCTGGAGTAGCCTCATCTCTGTTTTTGTTCCCCACGTCGGAGGACCTGGCGCCTGCAAACAGAATGTCTTGAACCAGGTGAGAATAATGAGGTAAGTTTCAATAGATAAACTTCCGGGTTTTACTTCCGGCTAGGCAATCGCCGCCAGTCATTTGTAAAGAACAATCACAGTCAAGTCCGGGAAGGAAAAAAGGAAACTATGTACAAGTACGCAAGTCATTTAATGGGAGAACTATACTTTAGCTGCTTTATTAAGGCAACGAGCTAAAAGATATGGTGGTCGCTACCAAGTGGCTCTAACGACCCATTGGCGAGTGATAACAAAAGTGCCCATTACGGTGGCACTAAAGTTCAGCGTAAACATCCCTTGATAACGGGTAATTAGTTTCGCGTCCCGTGTAAACAGACAAATCTAGTCACTTAAACGTTGATCATCCCGACTTGTTTTTTGGTGTGTTCGGAAGGCGTAATCTTCGTTGGGTTGCTTAACGCATCCCCTTGCAGCGTGACTCTGAAACCCTCAAAAGTAAACGAGGAAAACTCTCAAACAGAAGCACGGAACTAATCAATCTGGAATTTCTTCACCAGAGTACACCAGGTAAACAAGCTGTATGCAATCACACTAAAAAGTAATAATCGTTCAGCTCTAACACGTTTTTGGTGCCTAGCTGCCATGTCATCCGAGGAATTCACGAAGTCTAAGATACTACCAGGTTTCCAAGCCTAGATAGTAGTCGAGATGCCGAGGTTCGGTTAGAACCACAGAACTTCTGAGTAGTAATTTGAGTGTCAACCATGGAGCCTCTCGAACTTTGAATTGGGGTGAAATGTAAGAATGGTGATAATAGGCTGCCACGAAACAGACCTGCATCGGCAGACTTTGGTGTGACCCATTTGATACCCAAGGTTTTGGAAAACCCGGAATTGGGTCGCTGCAAGGTGGAAACTGTTCCCTGTTCTGTGGTGTCGGATCGTAGAAACAATCGATCCGCCAGGCCAGCACGGTGCAAGAGATCGTGTACCTCGGCCAGATGCAACAACTCAACTCCATACATTGTGCTACTCGAACTTGTGTTAGCTTCTTCTTTCATCGGGATATCCTGGACCAAAGTGCTCGCCAAATGGTAATGTGATTCGACGAGTCGCATGAGGCCACGATAAAGATCAGTCCCATTTGAAGGTAACTGGTGATAGAAGAATCGATGAGTCGAGCTTCCAGTGACTCCAGGAGGGGGCTGAACAGAGGTAAAGATGAAGGGTAATATCATACCGGGTAGGTTTTTGTTTGTTGTCTATGTATACTGATATCTAGCGAGCTATGGATAGAACGTCTCCAAATATGTATCGAGTTCACTAAAATGAGAGCTAAGCTTCAACAGATGGTGTCTAGGGCCAGCTTAGGCTGTCCAAGATGAACCTAATCCAACTCAACCAACTGAGGTTTTCATGAATTTTATGTATAACTCCCCCGATTCTGGATTATGCTAAAATCCAGCACTATGATGATCTTAAATTTCTCCAGTCAAACAGACATAGATCTCGCGTTTCTCACTGCCTGGAGCGAAGGGGTCTAATCGGACATAGAAATCCTAGCGCGAAGAGCTAGGTACTATCTGTAGCCTTCACTTAAGCATTATAGACGGGTATCCGCCACAAAACTTATTTGGATGGTTGGATTAGTAAGAAGTTGGCGTCTACTGTTGCAGCTATAATAATTCTAAAAAAGATCTATGGCTGACAGGAGGTCAATGGCCTAGGGGATTTTTTGAAAGTTCCAAAGCGCTACCAATATTGCCAACTTGTGTCGAGTGAGATACATGAAATATCTATGCATATAAATAGACAAAATATAGGTACATGGATAAAAAATATACGAGTAAAGTTGTCTACCTCGATCGGCTGTGGTACTTCATAGTTTGCCTCTGGATCCGCGACCAGATCCACAAACAGCCACTCGCTAGCTGAGACGCTAGCGTTGCTAGAAATACAGAAATTGAATGAAATCATGGACCAAGGTGCTGGTGCTAGTTCCATGTGACTGGTTGTAGACAAGCGAAGTGCATAAAAACACTGGAAAGATAAAGGTATCGTTTAACTCATATGCCATGCACAACAGAATGGAAAGTGAATTAAGTTTAAAGCAGTGCACTTCAGCTTTACTAGTGGTGTATACGGAAAACGGACAAGCAACAAACATTTTAACCATTCGTCGGTCACTAACCAATGGAGCATGGTCAAGAGAAACGAAAAAAGTATCAGAATAGACTCTCCGTCAGATGAAGAAAAATAACATTAGCAGCAGGCTTCCCCCATTCACCTCACGATATGAAGCCGGGAAGCTTGATGAACAAAGGAACAACCGATACATCATTCCATCACCTTTCTTTATCCTCTCGATGTAAGGCTAGACGAAAAAGGAGCACCTTGGTTCTGCAGACCGATTCACTCTAAATCAATCGAGCTGCTGAAGTTAGTCGGGACCAAACGTACGCGGTCAAAAAGCAATGTGATGAATCAATGTACAATTCAAGTGCATATATGCTATACAGGGAGTATCCGCGGTAGCAGAGTTGGTAGAACACCCGCAGAGAAAACGACGTTGCGCGTTTCAGTCTAAGGACTCTATATTTTTGTTTGCGTTGTGTGTAGTTGCGTAGTTTCGTGGTCCTCAAGGAACCCGCGAAAAGCTCTGTCCTAAAAGGCGGCCTGTCCTGATGGGGAACTAAGATATTCTGAGAAAAAGAACTAATCTGCCTCTGCTGACGGTATACCATTCCCCCATATGACTGTGGTGTTCGCCGTAAACTACCTAACATTCCTGCACGCTTCAAACTATATTCCTATGTAAACGGTCAGTGCAACTTCAGCAGCTAAAACACCATCGATTTCGCCTGGTTGATATAACTTGCTCACAATTTCAAAAGAAAACTCTTCAATATTTTCAAGGGACCGTCTATATCACTGAAAGCGAAATTCAAGTGCGTACATCAGTATCGCCAACTGAATAAAACATCACTCCTTCGTGATGGTGTGATCAGGTCTCGACAATCCCAAACAGAAGAGGCCTCCTTCCTTACTAGGACCTATCAGTTAGGGGTTTTTCGGGATCCGATTGCAGACTGACTGTAAATTATCCGTAAAATCCTGAGCCTGTTGCTTGGTACTTCGTGAAAATATATGGGTTGTCGGATGAACAAGCTGACTAATCTACAGTAGTTTTACGATTACGGTGTAGGCAACAGATGTTCATAACAAAGCCGTATCATGCCTTTATTAAAAAATAGGGAACTTCTTCTCCATTACTGTTCGACGTGGTTGAAGCCAACGTGCATATACTAGCGTATAAGATTATCTCATTATGAACATTTACACATCTTTTCTATTCTATTGCGTTTTCGAAATTTATACAGTCCAATAGCCGCGTAATTTTGTGTGATAATTGCCAGCGGTAAGGGAGCTTAATGAGCACTAGTGATGCAGGGGCTAGGCCACTAACTAACCTTCCAATTTTCCCGGGAGCTGGAGCAAAATCACAAACTGACCACCAGGCATCACCCGCAACTAGTTCAGTTTAAATATCCAACAGAAACCCCGAAGTGGGACGCGCGTCAAAAGCATAGTGGGTCATACGAAGAAACAATTTGAAAGGGCAAAAGTTCCGGCCAGTCTCTCAAAGGATCCTACGATCAATCTCATACGGAAAGCAGTCCGACCTAACAGCCTTGCCGATGCAACAACTACCGGGGCACATTACCCTTTTCTTCAGCGTTCATTTCAGTTTGAGTGATCAGTAGCAGTCTCAGTGGTCACTGTCTGGATAGAAATCACCATGAAATATCCACCTGACAAAACCCCGTGGAAATCCGGAATCAGGAACAGTGAACACCAAATAAAGAGGACCCTGTGAGTGGCCTCAGCTTAACATACTTCGCCAGGAAAGCTGTATACCATCTGCTTTGACAGAAAACCATCAGCATCAACAGCAAAATAAACAAAAAATGAAAGGGCTCAACTGCAGCACTCTTTGGGTGCCTAGCTGCTATGCCACCTGAAGAAAGCGCGACAGCCAGAATACTGCCAGGCTGCCCAAGCCTAGATAGGAGCAGTCGAGATGCAGAAATTGAGTTCGAAAAACGGACCTCCCGGCCAGTAAGTTCGCGCCTTAACCACTGTACCATCCCGACAGCAACATACCAACAGTAAGTACTGGTGCTTAAATGTTCTAAAACTGTCGGGAAAGAACTCCGGACTAGAGTGGGAACAGCAGGAACTTGGTTAAAACAGCCTCATGTTCCTGAGAAGAACTCATAAGAATAAGTTGCCTGAACTTTAAAATAACGTGAATCTATCTAACATGTTGCAGTAAGATTTCATCGGCGAAACTGTGTCAACGCCCTTCGCGGACTTCATTCAGAAGGAACCAACAGACAACGACCGACGAATCTTAACCAGCCAATCGAGTAGGAAAATGACAGCATTTTCGCCACTAGAGCCGACCACTGTCATGCCTTGCAGGGTTTTTAAACACGCGCGAAGAGAGTGCAGTTGACCCAAATCAGAAAGGCATCCACAAAGCTCAGTTTGACAAGATCCAATTCACTGCACGTTGCCCGTCATATACGAACCTTCGTGAACCTTCTACGAACAGGATTCCCGAACAGGAATGTCCCTACTTTGGCAAGCGGTGTTTGGACGTGCGTAGTATACATTCCTAAGGATTCCTTTCAATTAAACGAAAAGAGAGGGTAAATCACCCTAAGAAGAACCAGTTTATGATGGCCAGTCCACCAAAAAGGTAGCGGGCCACAAGGTACATGACGACTTACCCAGCCATGTTCACTGGTGCGTTCAGAGAATTCAGGATATCAGGAATCCAGGATGAGATCTGAGACCTGATGAGCCCGAATTCAGTTACCAAGTGGATCTTACCGCATATAGGCGCTTATAATTACAACCCGACCAGTATTTTCAACAACTTGACCGCCTTTCTGCGATGGTTTCAGCATTTGCAGCATACTACATGCAGTCTCAAGCCCCGGCATGACGGTACAGTTTTTTAGGTCCAAGGCCAATTCCCTTGGAGGACCCTCATGTGTAAAGATTGACCACAACTGAAGGAAATTTATGGTAAAGGCAATCGCTTGTGCTCACCGTCTCGATATTTTGATCTTCTTCTAGCCAGACACTGTGGATTTTCTCTTCGCTGTCAAAAGTAATGATGGAAATCTATGGGGATGAAGCAATTGACTTTCAGGTAAAAGAATGACAAGTTACCGGTTTTTCGTGAGAGAATAGGTCGAAAACCACTCGGCAATACTGCATCACTGCATCCGTAGTGTTTGTCCACAATGATTTGCGGAAAATAGCTTTCGTGGAAGTTGTAGTCTTAGTGCCCGATTCCAGTACTATCTCATCTCTTGAAGGTTGCGAAAAGTGTTGTGTGTGGTTGAGTACGAAGACTGTTTTCTCGTTAAAATCCATTGAACAAGTGCGCTCTATGAAGGTGTATCGACCGAACTACCAGTTGGAATTGGGGTCTGGAAGCATTCGTGAGTTCGGTTTCTCATGCCCCAAAACCACAGAAAACAAAATCTGGAAATGCAAGACAAGATATCTTCACTATCCCATCACATATAATATATATATATATATATATATATATAT